CTATAAAAACCCTAGAAGAAAATCTAGGCAGTACCATTTAGGACATAGGCATGAGCAAAGATTTTATGGCAAAATCTCCAAAAGCAGCAACAACAAAAAATTGACAAATAAGACTTCATTAAACGAAAGAGCTTCTTCACAGCCAAAGAAACTATCATCAGAGTGAACAGACAACCTACAGCATGAGAGAAGATATTTGCAATCTATTCATTTGACAAAGATCAAACATCCAGCATCTACAAGGAACTTAAACAAACTTACAAGAAAAAAGCAACCCCCTTAAAAAGTGGGCAAAGGACATGTGCAGACAATTCTCAAAGAAGATATTCATGCAGCCAACAAACTTATGACAAACAGCTCAATCCTACTGATCATTAGAGAAATGCAAATCAAAACCACAATGAAACACCATCTCACACCAGCCAGAATGGCGATTATTAAAAAGTCAAGTAACAACAGATGCTGGTGAGGTTGGGGAGAAAAAGGCACACTTTTACAACGTTGGTGGGAGCGCAAATTAGTTCAACAGAAGACAGTGTGGTGATTCCTCCAAGACCTAGAAGCAGAAATACCACTTGACCCATCATCTCATTACTGGGTATATACCCAAAGGAATAGAAATCATTCTATTATAAATGTTCATTGCATCACTATTTATAATAGAGAAGACATGGAATCAACCTAAATACCCATCAGTGATAGACTGGATAAAGAAAATGAGGTATATATACTCCATGGAATACTATGCAGCCATAAAAAATGAGATCATGTCCTTTGTAGGGACATAGGTGGACCTGGAAGCCATTATCCTTGGCAAACTAATGCAGAAATAGAAAATCAAACACTGAATGTTCTCACTTATAAGAGGGAGCTGAATGCTGAGAACACGTGGACACATGGCAGGCAACAACACACGCTGGGGCCTGTTGGGGCAGGGGCAGAGGGAGGGAGAGCAGAGGAAGAACGGCTAATAGATGCTGGGCTTAATACCTAGTTGATGGATTGATCTGTGCAGCAAACTTCCAGCCATGGCAAACGTTCACCTATGTAACAAGCCTGTACGTCCGGCATATGTACCCCAGAACTCAAAAGTTAAAAAATCAAAAGATTCTGTGCCAGGCATGAAGGTTGTTTTGGCAAACAAGATTGCTCCCTCCATGAGAATATAACAGAGAATACAATGAGATAAGATATGTAAATTACTTCATGCAATTTATGCTTGTTGTGGAATTACACTATGCCTGTCACACCGAAGAACTTGTGTTTTGCAAACATTTTTGGAACTTCTAACTTCCAAAAATGATCTTATCATGTGAGCATTTCATAATCCCCAAGGTTGAAATGGGACTCACAGATTGAGGTGAGAGTTCAGCTTCAGGCTTCATTAGCAGCACACTCTGGTCTACAGCACAGAGGGCACAGAGGGAGAAGGGGGTGGCTGTCACCTTCAGGCGGTTGTCTGAGGCTGGCAGGCTCTGAGCTGAGGAGAATCTCAAATTTACCTGTAAAGAGGACATGATTAAAGCAGACACTTTTATAATTATTACAGTAAGCAACCCTTCTTCTACTCCAGAGTAAGAGTAGGCTTTTCTATACTTCCTTTCTCTTTATTCATCTCAGAGCAGAATTAAGAGGTGAACAGCTTAGGAACTACCAATTCAGTGTTTCTGGAAAACCTGGAAATTTGATTCCAGTTAACTCAGGTTTTCCATTCCTTGTATAACTGGTGAAATATGAATTGACTTTAATCATATAGAAATAGAACTCTGAGTAGAACTGAAAACACACATACAAGAAAGATGCATCCCTTGCTATCACTGACCTATCTCTGTGCTGTGTTTTTGTGATGACTGGATGACTGTGTGTAGTTTGCACAGTGATGTGAAAATCACATTCCACCCCTGGGACCAGCCAACAGGCATCTCCTCCGGTTGGCAGTCTCAGCCATCTGAAATTCTAAAGCAGTGTGGGACTGTTCATCGTGATTGGGGATTTACTGGTCTATTTAAAAAGTTAAATATCTAACATACAGCCTAAGAGTTAATCGGTTCAGACAATTCAAAAAATGGTGAATAAAAAACAACAGAAAATGTACAGAATTTTCCCAAAGATTTGATTTATCTTTGGTCAAAAAAATTAATTGGTAAGTGAATCTATTAATTCCTTCTGTGGCTATAGACGTTTCTTGAGAAGAATCTGGGTTATATAGTTGTAGCATCAGGTAACTTCCTTGATTCTTGGACTGAAAACTGATTTGTACGGGAATAAAATATCAGTATGTTTAGCTAAATTAGGTTGCTAAATTTCACTATGACAATCCAGCTTTGTGGTCTGCCGAATTAATACAGCAGTTTGGAATAGCTTATCATAAGACATATATGAAAAATAAATCAATAATTATTTATCTTCAAGATGCA